TTTCAGTGAGCTGGGATCTCAGAGCTGGAGTCAGAACTGGAGTTATACATTGTTTCAATTACCTACTTTCAGCAGTGGAGGCCTAAGAGCTGGAGCCTCAGAGCTAAAGCTGGCCCTGAATTAAAAAAAAAAGAAAGAAAAAAAGGAGCGGTTGGGAGCTTCCATCACCCGCCAGCCTGAAAACAGCCCTCAGCCCCTCACCCAGACTGGCCAGGCACCCCAGTGGGGACCCCCACCCTGAAGGGTGTGTGACCAGCTGCAAACAGCCCTCAGCCTCTCACCCAGGCTGGCCAGGCACCCCAGTGGGGACCCCAACCCTGAAGGGTGTGTGACCAGCTGCAAACAGCCATCATCCCCTCACCCAGGCTGGCCAAGCACCCCAGTGGGGACCCCCACCCTGATCCAGAACACCCTTCAGGGCAAACCAGCCAGCCCCACCCATGCACCAGGCCTCTCTCCTATATAGTAAAAGGGTAATATGCCTCCCAGCACTGGGATCAGCGGAGCCGAGAGGCCTCCTGGCACCGGGAACAGCGTGACGGGGGCAGCGCCCAAACCCCCTGATCGCCCTGCAGCTCTGTGTGTGACAGGGGGTGGGGCCACAACCTCCTGATCAGCCCTGCTCTGTGCCTAATACGGGGGAGCTCCCCAACCTCTGATCACCCTGCAGCTCTGTGTGTGACAGAGCGCGGCGCCCCAACCTCCCCCCCCCCCCCCACGGGCCCTGCTCTGTGTGTGACAGGGTAGAGCCATAACCTCCCCATTGGCCCTGCCCTGAGTGTGAGAGTGGCGGCGCCCCAACCCCCTGATTGGCCCTGCTCTGTGGGTGATAGAGGGCGGTGCCACAACCCCCACCCCTCCCACGGGCCCTGCTCTGTGTGTGATGGGGTAGAGCCATAACCTCCCCATCGGCCCTGCCCTGAGTGTGAGAGTGGTGGCATCCCAACCTCCTGATCGGCCCTGCTTTGTGGGTGATAGTGGGTGGCACCCCAACCCCCTGATCCGCCCTGCTGTGTGTGTGACTGGGGGCGGTGCCCCAACTCCCCTATAGGCCCTACTCTCTGAGTGACAGGGGGGAGCTCCTCAACCCCCTGATGTGCCCTGCTCCGTGCGTGACAGAGGGTGGCGCCGCAACCTCCCCATCGACCCTGCCTTGAGTGTGACAGGGGGCGGTGCCCCAACCCCCCAATCGGCCCTACCCTGAGCGTGACTGGGGGTGGCATCGCAACCTCCCAATCTACCCTGCTCTGTGCATGACAGGGGGTGGCACCCCAACTCCCCAATTGGCCCTGCTCTGAGCCCGACCAGGGGCTGCACCTAGGGATTGGGCCTGCCCTCTGCCACCCGGGAGCAGGCCTAAGCCAGCAGGGCGTTATCTCCTGAGGGTTCCCAGACTGTGAGAGGGCACAGGCCAGGCTGAGGGCCTCCCCCCTCCCCCCCAAGTGCACAAATTTTTGTGCACCGGACCTCTAGTTCAGATATAAAAAGGAATGAAGTACTGATATGTGCTACAACATAAACAAATCTTGAAAATATGCCTGGTGAAAGAAGATAGACATAAAAAGCCACATATTATATGATTACATTTACATGAAATATTCAGAATAAGCAAATTTGTAGAGACAGAAAGTATGTTAGTGGTTGCCAAGGGCTGGAGGGAAAGAGAAGAGGAATTGGGGAGTTTCTTCTAATGGGTATGGGGTTCCTTTTTGGGATGATGAAAATAATCTAAAATTAGATAGTGGTATAGGTTGCACAATTCTGTGAATATACTAAAAACCACTGAATTGTACCACTGAATCATCTATGTTTTATATGTATACATGTGTATAAATATATACTAGAGGCCCGATGCATGAAATTCATGCAAGAGTAGGCCTTCCTTCCCGTGGCTGCCAGCACCGGCTTCCCTCCGGCACCTGGGACCCGTGCTTCCCTCACAGCCCTGGCAATTAGCATATTATGCTTTTATTATTATGGATATGCAGACACAAACATATAAACACACTTACACATATAATTCCCTATTATATGTTAATTATACTTCAATAAAGATGTTGAAAACTTTTTAATAAATTTAAAGGACAAATTAAATATATGTATATATATTAAACTTTCAACAAGAACCACTTCTCACCTCTACTGGCTCCACAACTCTAATCCAAACTATCATCACTTCTGCAAAAATATTCTACACTGATCACCCCGCCCAGTCTCCTGCCCAACAATAGTCTATTATCTACACCAAGCATGTCAAACTCAGAGCCCACAGGCCACATGCAGCCCACAAGGAATATTTTTGCAGCCCGGCCAATATAATGGTATGTAAGAAATGTTTTAATAAAAATTTCCTAACTTAATTTTTACAATATTCTGTTATACATAATTATTAATAATGAACTACAAAATCACTAATGACAGATTACAATAGTCATGTTGCATTCATTTCCCTTACGCGTCCGCGCACCATTTCTCTCCACTAATACTAGCAGCGAATATTTTAGCAGCCAACTGCCACATCATTAGTCTTTTTTACAAAATATATATATTTTATTGATTTTTTACAGAGAGAAAAGGAGAGGGACAGAGAGTTAGAAACATGGATGAGAGAGAAACATTGATCAGCTGCTTCCTCCTACACACCCCCTACCCAGGATATGCCTGCAACCAAGGTACATGCCCTTGACCGGAATCGAACCCGGGGCCCTTCAGTCCCCAGGCCGACGCTCTATCCACTGAGTCAAACCGGTCAGGGTGCCACGTCATTAGTCTTGGACAGAATGTTTGGTGTGCGCAACAGGAAATATTTTGCTTTCAGAGAACAAGAAAAATAAGTTTATTTATGTTACGCTTATTAATTTGTGCAGTTATTCAGTGTCTGGTTAGTTAATGTTCAAGAAAAAAATATTAATTTTTATTAAAATGTTCTATTATTTTATGTTAACAATTACTCATTTATTTCAGCCCTTTGTAGTCAGCATGTCTTTATCAAAATAAACCCATTTCTATGAAAATTGAAGCTTTGTTTTTTTGTGACCCATATAAACTTAAACCTTGTTTATTTGGCCCTTGTTAGCCTTTGAGTTTGACATGCTTGATCTATACCAAAGCTGAGTCCTCTTTTAAAAGTGTAAATGAGATCATGTCATTCTGATCCAAATCCTCCACTGGCCTTCTCCATTGTACTCAGAGCAGCTCTGCTTCTAACCTGATTTACATGTATGGCTCTAACTTATTTCCCCTGAAGAAATGGTTCCATGGCTAATACGATGTTGACAGCCTCTTGGAGGCCAAACTAGCTGACAGTCACGTATACTGTCCCTTTTTGCCTTCAACCATGAAAAGTCCTTGGATGAGGAAAAAACCTTGAGCAAAGGTAGAAGTGTAAGAGGTGAAACAGGACAAAGGTTGGGACACAACATAGCCAGTTCTCTGCTTTCCCTGTCTAAACCTCTTAAAAAGAGATCACCCAAGTAATGGGCAAACTTATTCACAGCACTCAAAAGAGCTTGTCTACTTCCCCTGCTCAGTCAGCTGTCAGATATTTATTGAGAATCTAGTTCTGTGCTCCTGAGCACTAAACGGAGTGCCTGACACCCAGAGTTCTGGCCCAGCTGGATTATTTATTTGACAAGCAAGATTTGGTTTTCAAGGGCCTACTCCTGAAAGTATGGAAAGCTCTGTGGGAGAGACAAAGAGATAACCACCAGTGTGGGTAAGTCAGAGGATTGCTTCATATTCAGAAAAGTCTGTTAGAAAAGGAGGAAGAGCTTCTAATTTGGATTGATAAAGAGGCCCTCGCTTCCTCTTACCCTATCTTCCCTCTCTCCGAGGCCCATAACTTCCCTTCCCAGCTTCACTCTGCCATGGCCCACTTAAAGATCTGTTTGTGAGCCCTAACTGGTTTGGCACAGTGGATAGAGCATTGGCCTGCAGACTCAAGGGTCCCAGATTCGATTCCGGTCAAGGGCATGTACCTTGGTTGTGGGCACATTCCCAGTAGAGGGTGTGAAGGAGGCAGCTGATCGATGTTTCTAACTCTCTATACCTCTCCCTTCCTCTCTAAAAAATCAATAAAATGTATTTTTTATTTTTTTTGTTTTTTTTTTTATTTTGGGGGGATTTTTTAAAATTTATTTTGAATTTTTTTTTAATTGCTTAAAGTATTACAAAGGGTATTACATATGTGTCCTTTTTTTCCCCTCCGCCCTTGATAATCCCCTGGCCTCCCCTACCCCCCAGTGTCTTATGTCCATTGGTTATGCTTATATGCATGCATACATGTCCTTCGGTTGATCTCTTTCCCCCCTCCCTCCTGCCCCCCAACCCTCCCTGGCCTTCCTGCTGCAGTTTGACAATCTGTTTGAGGCAGCTCTGCCTCTGTATCTATTATTGTTCAAAAGTTTATAATGGTCTCTATTATCAATGAATGAGATCATGTGGTATTTTTCCTTCATTGACTGGCTTATTTCACTTTAGCATAATGCTCTCCAGTTCCATCCATGCCGTTGCAAATGGTAAGAGTTCCTTCTTTTTTACAGCAGCATAGTGTTCCATCGTGTAGATGTACCACAGTTTTCTAATCCACTCATCTACTGATGGGCACTTAGGCTGTTCCCAGATCTTAGCTATGGTGAATTGTGCTGTTATGAACATATGGGTGCATATATCCTTTCTAATTGGTGTTTCTGGTTTCTTGGGATATATTCCTAGAAGTGGGAAATGTATTTTTTTTAAAAAAAGATTTGTTTATGAGTCCTGGCCGATGTGGCTCAGTTGGTTGAACATCATCCAGTGCACCCAGGGATTGTTGGTTTGATTCCTGGTCAGGGCATGTGCTAGGTTGCAGCTCAATCCCCTGTGGTGGGGGGCTTGCAGGAGGCAGCCAGTCCATGTTTTCCTCTCACATCGATCTTTCTTCTTCCTCCTCTCTCCCTAAAATCAATAAAAATATTTTTAAAAAACCACACATTGTTTACAAGTCATTTCCTTGTTTTCAGGAGTGAACAAATCATCAAGTCATGAGACCGGCAAAACTACAGAAAGCAAAACTTCAGAAGGGCCTGAGACTTTCAGTTGTCTGTTTCAGATCCGGTAGAGAACATGTTCCTCCTCCTGCTAATTTTGAGCCTGGGAGTACAGCTTCATCAGACAAGAGGTAAGACAGACAAAGGGAGGGGCCTGAGAAAGAGGAGCAGGTGATGGCCCCTAGCTGAAGCCAACCATGACAATGTGGTCCTCAGGCTAAAGGCTTTCTTTGAGGGGAAAGGTGATTACTGGCTGTTACAAGCACAGCAAAAGAATGGTGGCTTGTGCATGCCCATGTTCCTGTCTGACAAAAACAGGGACTGAGAATATTGGTTCATCTAGTCCCACTCTCCAATGAAGGTGGTGACAAGAAGACAGAACCTCTCAGACCATGCACCTCGGCACTGATACAAGAGGGCATTGTTTGTTTGTCCTGAAAGGTGAGGTGCCAGGCAGCTGTCCTCTTCTCTTCTGACAGGTAGAGTGAGGAGACAAAGGTCAGGGGGACACCTAAAGAACTCTGTTACTCTAAAACAGTGGTTCTCAACCTTCCTAATGCCGCGACCCTTTAATACAGTTCCTCATGTTGTGGTGACCCCCAACCATAAAATTATTTTCGTTGCTACTTCATAACTGTAATTTTGCTACTGTAAACAATATGTAATTATATATGTGTTTTCCGATGGTCTTAGGTGACCCCTGTGAAAGGGTCGTTCGACCCCCAAAAGGCTCGCGACCCACAGGTTGAGAACCTCTACTCTAAAGAGTCTCTTGCAGACATTCTGCTGATTATTGAATATTTATTTCAGTTCCTCTTTTAAAAAGCAACAGTAGCATTGTTCATTCAAACGCTAATTGTGGATTACTTGAATTGGAAAATCAGAGTTTTCCTAATGTTTAAATGAATAATGAACCTTAATGTGATGCCTTTGGATATTGAAGAAAGGAGTTCTACCAGCAGGTGTGGGTGCTCACAGGTTTTTTCCCATCTAAGGACTTTTCATGGTTGAAGGCAAAAAGCAGTTTCAGAGTTTGTGGCTCTCCTAGGAAAGTCAAGACCCTTTGTGTGTGCAGTGAGGATCATAGTGTGTTATTTTGGGTGAACACCAAGAGGTAAGAGAGGGAGACAGAAGTGGGTGCAGGAAATTAGGCCCTCAATGATAGCAGCCCCAGTGCTTGGGAAGTCCCCCAACATTCTGCCTTTGATTGAGAAAGAAGGGCTTCTTTGGCACTGATAACCTTTTGAAGAGCTTTTCCCTACCTTCCAGGTGATCCCAAGCTGCTCTTTACCCAGTCACGTTCCTCCTCCTCCCTTGGGCTGGACAGCCTGGTTTGTTAGGGGCCATCCTTGGAGAGCACCCCAATATGCTGCTTACTCCAGCCCTGCCCTATAGTGCCAGCTAAAGAAACATTTTCTGTTTCCTTTCTAAGGCACCCTCCGATCTAAGAGACATGTAAAAGGCAAAGATGCCTCCTTGCTACCATAGAACTTTAAATTTCCAACCTTTATAATAAAAGCCTAATATGCTAAGTGTCTGGTTGTCCATTCAACCAATCAAAGTGTAATATGCTAATGATATGCTAAGGCCACTCAACTGCTCATATGACGTGCACTGACCACTAGGGAGCAGATGCTCTGACTGGTAGGTTAGCTTGCTGCTGGGGTCTGGCTGACCAGGACTGAGCGAGATGGGCTAAACATGCCCTGGAGTCCTCCCACGGTCTCTCCTCAGCTGGCCAACTTCCCACGTCCCTCCCCAACCCCTATCATGCACTGGTGGGGTCCCTCAGCCTGGCCTGCACCCTCTTGCAATTCAGGACACCTCGGAGGATGTTGAAGATCCAGTTTTGGTCCGATCCTGCAGGCCAGCCGAGGGACCCCACTGGTGCACGAATTTATGCACCGGGCCTCTGGTAAAGTGATAAGAAAACCAAAGGTCAAAAGAAGGTTCTGAAGCTGCTATTCCCCATCCCCTGAGAGGACTGGGCACTCCAGGAGAAACCTTGGGAATTGTGCAATGTCTGCAGCTTTGCAGCTTAGAAACATTGAGACCTTTTTGTATGTGTGTTTTTGTTTGTTATTGTTTTAAATTTTCTCTTAAGAAAAGAGTGAGCTAGGATAACAAGTGGTATCATTTTGTATCCCTTACTGAATCTTTCTCCCATGGTAGCACCTTTCTTTCTAAGATAAGTAGCATAAGGAAATGAAAGTAGATTCTAACCATTAGGGATACTAATAGGGCATAGGGAAGAGAATGTATATTTACTGAGGACATTAATAATAACCATTTGGTAGATGAGGAAACTGGGACTCAGAAAAATTATTTAATTTACCAAACATTACATAGTAATTAGGTGGCGTGGGCAAGCTTCCTACAAAGCTACTGTTCTTTCTACCTTACTGAGCTACAATGATGGTGAGCAAGTATGACAGACAATCCCTAAACCACCCACTCAGGATTGGGTTTTTGGAATTAAGTTTGATTATGGGCACATATTAAACATTTACTCTGGACATTCACAAAACCAAAAAATATGTATGTTGAATTATGTTTATGAATTAACCAAGAGGAAGCTATACACATATTGTATCTTGCTTTTTATACAAACTTGGAATTCTACTCTGCTTTCCACTCTATATTTATGCAGATAATATTAGTTCAATCAAACATTAAATACCTGCCTAAATTAGAATGCTTACTCCTCAGGTTTTTGTTTTAAGTTTTGACATTTCATGTCTCCCTTAATTAAAGAGTTTCTCTTACCTGAGAAAGAAAGGGAACACACACACACACACACACACACACACACACACACACACACACACACTGAGGACTGATTAGATTACTTCTGGCAAGCAGATGAGGTCCGGGATGAGGGTGAAAGGGAAATTTTATTTAGTATGTTTACCAGGTTGCTGTTATTGTTTGCATTTACTTGTATAATAAAATAAATCTACAAGAGGATTAGTTGTATAATTAAAATATAATTATTAAAATATAAGAATCCTTTAAAAGCACGTGAGAGCAGCCAGGCCATGGCATTCAATGCCCAGAGAGCCCTGGCTATCAGGGAGGTCCGATGGATGACCTCACTGCCCTCATTACCCTGTGCATTCCTAGACCTGCACTCTCACTGAAATGGAAAATAATGAATTGGATCAATATAATTTTGTATTACCCTGTCTGTTTAAATTTCTACTTTGAAACTTTAAAAATAATACTTATAACAGTATTGTTAGTCTATAAAAAGACACCTAATGCCCATCAACGGGAGAATGCATAAATTACGGTATATTAGCAGAATGGAGTATTATGTGCCATACAGGTAAATTAATTACAAAAACATGCAACTACATCTAAGAATTTTAGCAGCATAATATTGAGGAAAAACAAAGAAAACAGAAGATGACATCACCACATTGTCCTTTTACAAACAAAATATTGCTTAGGCATACATATATTTAAGATAAAACAAAAAAAAATAAGCAAGAGAATGATAAACACAATATTTAAAAGGTGATTACCTTTGGTGGAGACAGTAGATATATGTTATTAGTAATATTCTAATTCTTGGGTTTTAGTAAGCACTGGTAAGTATATATTTTACTGAATTCAATATCTTAAATTATTTTTGCACTTAAACCTTTATACCATACATACAGAAAACCATATAAAACAAATGTAAACACTGATGCGACCACCCAGGTTAGAAATAGAACCGTGCTAGCTTCCCAGAAACTCTTCACCTGCTTCACCTCAACATGACCTCCTCCCAGAACACTCCCTGGAGCGCCATCCTATCTGTCCTTTTTATTTCTCCATAAAATAAGTTACTAAAAATCATTCAAAGAAATTTTAGTAAGCAATTGGCAAACATGCCCTTTATAGTTTTCATATCAGCAAATATAGACATCCTTCATTTTTAAGGGGCTCTATATATATTTTATTGGACATGCTGTTATTTATTTAAATAGTCCACTATTGATGGACATTACAGTTATTTTCCTTCTTTTTTTCTGGATTAATGCTTAAAGAAATGTGTATCTCCTAAAGATTGTGATGAAAATTAATTCTCAGTATAATTCAAGTAAACCACTAATCATGAACTCTTTTCTTACTTGTGTGCTCTGAGGATGTTCTACTGTGTTATCTATAAAAAAGTTTAAAGTTTGAAATAAAAATTAGTGGAAAACATTTTCATTGTATTTTGAAAATATTTATTTTTAAATTGATATATGGTAAAATTTACTTTTTTACAAAAACATCTATGAGTTTTGACAAATGAATAGTCAAAATCACCACCACAGTCAAGATTTAGAACAGTTCTGTCACTTTTGTCAAACAAACAAACAAAAATCCCCCCTAACACTTTTTAAAAAATATATTTTTATTGATTTCAGAGAGGAAGGGAGAGAGAGAAAGACATTTAGTTGATGAGAGAGAATAATTGACCTGCGCCTCCTGCATGCCCCTACTGGGGATCAAGCCCTCAACCCAGGCATGTGCCCTGACCAGGAATCAAACCATGATCTCCTGGTTCATAGGTTGACGTTCAACCACTGAGCCACACTGGCCGGCCCTCCCCCAACTCTTAAGACCAGACACTCACTCTGCTCTGTCCTATAGTTTTAACTTTTCCAGAATGTCATATAAATGGGACCATTCATTAAACACTTTTTTTGTTGAGCTTCCTTCACTTAGCATAATGTATTTGAGATTCATCCATATTGTTGTATGTATCAATAGTTCATTCCTTTTTGTTGTTGAGTATCTTTAACTGTATGTATGTACCACATTTTGTTTATTCATTCCTCAGTTGAGGGACTTTTGGGTTTCCTATTTTTGGCAACATAAGTAAAGCTGCTATAAACATTTGTATATAAGTGTTTATGGGAACATAGGTTTTCGTTTCACTTGGTAAATAAATATCTGGGAGTGGGATTGCTGGGTCATATGCTAAATATATATTTACTTTTTAAGAAACCGTTAAACATTTCCATAGAGTCTATACCATTTTTGCATTCCCAACAGCAAAATATGAGCGTTCCAATTGTTCCACATCCTTGTCAACACTTGGTATTGACATTGTCATTTTCCTTTTTTAAATCAGTCTAAAAGGTGTGTGGAAATATCTCATTTGGTTTTAATTTGCATTTCCCTAATATCTAGTGATGATAAGCATGTTTTCACATGCCTATGGCCATTCATATATCTTGTTTGGTGAAGTGTGTATTCAAATTATTTGAACAATTTTAATTGGATTGTTTATTTTCTTATTGTTAAGGGTTTTTGGTTTTGTTTAAATATGTTTTCATTGATTTCAGAGAGGAAAGGGGAGAGAGAGAGAGAGATAGAAACATCAATGATGGGAGAATTCTTGATCAGCTGCCTCCTGCATGCCCCCAACTGGGAATCAAGCCTGAAACCCAGGCATGCACCCTGATCAGGAATTGAACCGTGTCATCATAGTTCATGGTTGATGTCCAACCACTGAGCAACACCTGCTGGGCTTCTAGTTTCTTTTAGTTTTATTTCAAAACCTAACAATATCTTGTAATTCATCTTGTAATACATTTAAGAAAGATATTTACTTTTGTCTTTTGTCATGAGTTGGAGGAAAAAGTAACCTAAATTTTACTCTTTTTATTGATGTTTCTTTCTTCATCTTCCAAAGATAGATAAAAGGGGGGGGGGGGGGGCACATGACCATGGTGATGCTTGATGTGTCACTCTGGGGCAGGGCTTACACCCTGGGTCACTCCACTTATTCTATCTTCATTCTCCAAAACTACTTCTGTTGCGCCCTGAGGCATACAACACAGAAGAATCAGGTTGGGGGATGGATTTCTAAGCTGTCTCCATGCAGAGTTCCTATACAGAGGAGTGCATGAGTCAGCTGCCCAGAGCAGGCTTCTATCTTGAACCAGAAACTAGAGTTTTCTAAAAACTGTGGCTTTTCTAAAGCAGCCCCCCAACTTATAAGCACATTAGGTAGGAAGTAGGAACAAGTCTATGGTTCTGTTGTCAAAGAGAAAAAAAAGTATAAAATTAGCTTAAAGAGGAAGCTATCTTGGGAGGCAATGCAAATGATTTATTTTGTGTTTACTGGAGATGTGACAGGTGCTGGCTCCCATTGATTCCTGATTGCAAATAAAATGTAAAGTTACCTCAAGAACTTTCAAAAAGACGCCAGCACTATAAGTGCACCCTAATTGTATGCATCTTGAACTGGATTATATAGATTTTTATCTTTTGTTAAAATGTAGATTCAGTGGATCAATATATTATTAAAGTATGTGTATATTATATAAAATTTTTCAAAGGCTCCAGCATTAGTCAAGGCAACTGCTTTAATTTGCCTAAAGAACCTGCACGTGTGAATTTTTCATGCCCTGGCCAAGTCCTTTACCCTTTAACTTAGTCAAGGGCCCCAAATAATGGAGAAAACCTGTTTAGTCTGCTTAATTTTGTAGTCATGGAAATTTTCCAATTTTCTCCTTTGTCTGATAACTTCAGGAGTGCAATGCTAGGCTGAAGCTTAATTTAATAGCCACAAGGCATATAAAATAGAAAACAAATGTATTTTCCTTAGTACAAAGATAAAAAAATATGGATATAGTATATACATGCCAGTGGATATATAGTCATATCTGTAAACTTGTTAGGGGTATAGGTTTTCAAGAGACATAAATTTGAATTCCAACTCCATGACCTTGGGCTAGTGTATCACTTCTTTAAGCCTCAGTTTCCCCAATTGTAAAATGGGGGTAGTAACTCCTACCTTGCAGGATTTAGGGAACATCAAATAAGATGATGATGTAAAGGTAGCCCAGTGTCTGGCTCATTTTATTTAATAAATATTAACTATTACTCTACTTCCCATTAAAAGTCTCAATGCAGACCAGAGTTTTAACTCAGCCTCTCAAATGTTAATGTGCACACCATCAATCAATCACACTATTAATACTAAGATGCAGGTTCTGCTCCTGTAGGTCTGGGGCAGGCCCTGACGTTCTGCATTCTTAACTAGCTCCCAGGTGAAACTGAGGACAACACTTTCAATGGCAGGAAGATAAAAGATGTTTGCAAGTGTTTTATTTGTCTAACCAGTGGTTCTCAATGTTATTTAAATATTAGGGAAATAAAAAAAATTGATGCTAGCCTCACAAAAGAATTAGAATTTAATTTTAAAGGATTCTAAGTGGGGCCAGAGCATTAGTATGCTTTAAAAGCCTTCCCAAATAACCATTAATTTCCTAGTTATTCTGAGGTACTCATATACATGATTCATGTTTGCTAATTGCTCTTTTCTCTTGTGAACATTAGCTGAAAAACATCACCTGTCTGAGAGGTAGCATGCTTTATGCCTACAGCCCTGGTACACACACACCCTTGTACGAGGCAGAGTGGGGAAGCAAGCAGAAAGTGTATTTTTGTCAAAGGACCAGACGGTCAAGAGGGGAGTTCTGCTGTGTGCTATGGGGAGTTCCAGAGGAAGTTACAGGCGTTCCTCATATGAAGAGAAAGCATAGTGTGATAAATACATTTGTTAAGTAAGTCGCACCCAGAGTCCTCTAATTCTTGTTATATCTCAGACTCAGCAACTAATCTTCCTTGCAAGCCCCATTTTTCTTCCCTGTTTCCTATTTTTTCATGTGTAATAAAATAAAAGAAGAAAGTGCTATGAGGAAAGTTCTAGTGTAAATTCCTGAACCTGGCTCATTGAAGGTGGTTAATGCATTTTGATAAATGAGTTAGCAGAGGCTTAACACGCAGTAAGAACTCAACACGTGATAGTTGTGATAGTTGTAATTATTAAGTCACGTTGTTTCAGGGAATGTTGTAATTTGGTTCACATGAAAAAAGATGAGCCTGGATAATAGGTGGTAGGAGGGCCATCAGGTGTACAGGTGGGGAGTGTTGAGAGGAAAGAACTACCTCAGAACAGTGTGTAGAGAATTCCACTCTTGCCCAGACTGGATGGGGAAGGGACAGAAATGAGCCCAAGCAATGCCCAGATAATGATGGATATTCCCTAGAAAAGCGGGGTGGCCTGGGTCTCTTTGGCTTCCACTCTGCACAGAACTGAAATGTCAATGCAGACAATGGGAGAACATCTTGTTTTCTGTGTAGCTTTATTCAGAGTGGTGATCCCTAAGGAACTGTACACAGCGGAACACGGCAGCAATGTGACCCTGGAGTGTGATTTTTACTCTGACGATGACCTGGATGTTGAATATCTACAAGCCAGTTTGCAAAAGTTGGGAAACAATATATCCTCGAACAGCACCACTTTGCTGAAGGAGCAGCTGCCCCTGGGGAAGGCCTTATTCCACTTCCCCCGAGTCCAGCTGAGTGATGCGGGGAAGTACCGCTGCGTGATCATCTATAGGAGCTCCTGGGACTACAAGTACCTGACTCTAAAAGTCAAAGGTGAGTAGTTTCGAGGCCTGGAATCTGTGGAAACATCTTTCCAACAAGGACCTAAAGAGAGCTCGAGCTAAAGCTGGGAGGATGGTTCTAAGGAGACAGAGCTATCTCAAAGAAAGGAAAAGTACCAGTTCAGAAATAACTTTTTACATCTGAGTACAGGCTACTGAGGTACGGGAAATAGGAGCAGGAGTTGTAGGAATAAATGGGGCTAGAGGAAACCAGGACATGAGTCCTTGAAAGGCGGGGAGGAGCCAAAGGTTGGCTGTGCCTAATTCACAGTTTGTTTGAGGAACAACATTACTTGATTATTAAGCTACTCTTTGAGAACAGCTTATTCCCCCCAGTCCAGAGTTATTTAAACCAGGGTTTGCCATCTATTTATGAATTAAAATATCAGTTTAGTGAGTAGTAATCAGGTAGATGTTTTCCCCCAATAAAATGAGTGAACAAAATGAATAGAATAAAATACATCAGAGGTTGTATGTTGTGTCTGTTGCCTCACTCTGGGTCAGTCTAAAAGGTTTGAAGGGTACTACTCTAGTCCAAGCCTCATTAATTGCTGATGAAGCAGAAACTCACAGAAGTGAAGTGGGTGGCCTGAGGGAGCCCAGGGTAACTCCATTGGCTGGAGTATTGACCAGATGCATCATAGATGCACCAAGGTTGCAGGTCGGTCCCCGAGTAGGGGCACATGCAGAAGACAACCAGTGAATGCATGAGTGGGTAGAATAATAGATTGATGTTTCTCTCTCTCTCTCTCTCTCTCTCTCTCTCTCTCTCTCTCTCTCTCTCTTTCTGTTTCTGTGCCTCTTTCTCTCTTTCTAAAATTAATTTTAAAAATAAAATAAAATGAAAGTTTAAAAAAAAATAGCTGTCCCCATTCCTCCGTGTTCAGGGCTCTTTCCACTACAGCAGGATTCAAGAACCTAAATCTGGAGAGATCTTCACAGAGGAAGGGAGAGAGAGAGAGAGAAGTATCAATGATGAGAGAGAACCATCGATCGGCTGCCTCCTGCACGCCCCCCACTGGGGACCAAGCCCACAACCCAAGCATGTGCCCTTGATCAGAATTGAACCTGGGACCCTTCACTCCACAGGCCAATGCTCTATCCACCGAACCAAACCAGCTAGGGCCTGCCTTCTATCTTTATTGCATTTTCTACATCCAGACTTAAACTGGGAGGAACTTCCAGAACACTGAAGTTAGTCTGAGTTCAATTAACAGGAAGAGAGAAGACTGTACATTTCATGATCCCCTAATGGCCCCCACGTTTGTTGATCTCTATTTGAATGCTGTAAAGCATCTAGGATTTGGGGGCAATTAGGGGACAAACATCCCACTTTTTCTCTGTGGCTCAGGGCTACTTTTTATTCTTGGGAAGGCACTCTGCTTGCTTCCTCACGTAGACCAGGGATGGCTCAGGTGTGGAGCAGATTTATTTCTTAAATATTAATTAATTACTTAAACAACTAATTAATTTCTTAACTTGTTAAAAGTCTCCAACCTAGGGTATATGGAGATCACAAAGACTTTATCTAAGGAGTGCATAGGCACAGGCAGTTTTAGGAAATGAGTTTCTCAATTTTCATCTTCCCCAAGTACTCTTTCCCCAAACTGAGTGTGCCTGAGAATGTGCCTTCCAGGCAAGGCTCTTGGGGTTCCCCTAGAACACTTCCTCTTTTAGTATTGCTTTCTTCCACTTCAGAAAAGCCCACCTGTCACCCATGAATACAGTGCATTGCCCCACAGTGTAAAAACCTCCATAACCCCATAAGTGGCCTTGTTCTCCACTTTTTTCTTTTGATTCTGCTGATACCGTCCTGCTCTCGTCAGCCTCCAACCCGCTCTCTCCTTGAGCCCAAGCACCATGCCTGCAATTAAATTGCAGAGTTCTGATGGAGAGATATTTGAAGCTGATGTTGAAATTGCCAAACAATCTGTGACTATCAAGACCATGTTAGAAGATTTGGGAATGGATGCTGAAGGCGATGATGACCCAGTTCCTCTACCAAATGTTAATGCAGCAATATTTAAAAAGATCTTTCAGTGGTGCACCCACCACAAGGAAGACCCTCCTCCTCCTGAGGACGATGAGAACAAAGAAAAGCGAACAGATGATATCCCTGTTTGGGACCAAGAATTGCTCAAAGTTGACCAAGGAACACTATTTAAACTTATTCTGGCTGCAAACTATTTAGACATCAAAGGTTTGCTTGATGTTACACACAAGACTGTTGCCAAAATGATCAAGGGGAAAACCCCTGAAGAGATTCGCAAGACCTTCAATCTCAAAAATGACTTTACTGAAGAAGAGGAAGCCCAGGTACGCAAAGAGAACCAGTGGTGTGAAGAGAGTGAAAAGTTTGTCTGACACTCTAAGGATTGTTTCAAATACTAGTTGCCCTGCTCTATTTATAATTGTTAATATTAGGCAAACAGAAGACAAATGCAGCAGCAAATCAATTGTATTAGCAGAATTTTGTCCTCATTGCATGTGTAGTTTGGGTACAGATTCCAAACCTATGGCTGAGTTTTTTCCAGTATGATCAAAAGCAGGGGTCCTCAAACTATGGCCCGCGGGCGACATACAAATACAAATATTGTATTTGTTCCTGTTTTGTTTTTTTACTTCAAAATAAAATATGTGCAGTGTGCATAGGAATTTGTTCATAGTTTTTTTTTAAAACTATAGTCCGGCCCTCCCAATGGTCTGAGGGACAGTGAACTGGCCCCCTGTTTAAAAAGTTTGAGGACCCCTGATCAAAAGTATCTTTTTTCTTTGCTCTGAATAAAACTGAATTGTGGGTTCTCTATAAAACAACAACAACAACAAGAAAAACCTCCATAACCCTAAACAAAAGAGTAATTAGAAATATTAGTAACTTACCAAACTATAATGACCAACAAATCTATTGCAGATGAGATATCGAGTTCTCTGTTTTCAACAAAATTGAAGGAGGCCCTAATAGATGAGCACCTGATAATAAAAGATGAGTAATTGTTGCCATATAAACATAAGGCTTTCAAAGAATGAAATGCCTTACTTCCATCCCCACCAACTTATTTTTATATGCAAGATTCCTTAGTCCTTATAGTTATTAAAAAAATGACAGATAGAAATAGAATTGATGTTGAATCTTGTCTCATTTCAACCATAAATCATATGGATCCTCTGATTCATGAACAAATCAGGAAGAAAGCCCCATTCATCCCATAAAAGATACATTTCCAATAAAAATTTATGTTTAATAACTATCAATATTTATATTTTTATGTTTTGATTTCACATGTGCTAATAATAATGGAAACTAGATTTCAATGCAGAAGAAAGCTTTGAACACTTGAAGCCTTACGGTCACAAGAAAAAATATTTAATTTTAATAGCCACATGTCAAGTTTGGTTGCAAAGAAACATGGAATAATCAATAAAAGACCTTTAAATATGATGCATTAGGATAAAATCCTATAGAAAAGTGGAATGGAAATGAAGGTTCAAAGAATAAAAAGAAACAAAGTAAAGCTCTGACCATTAGAGAAAAATTTTTGTATGCACTTTTCAACAGATGGCAGTGTCTATAAAAAACTTTCTTCCATATCTAGATGACATCAGGTACATATGTAAGAGTGAGATAATTGTTTTATTAAAAATATAAATGTTTCCAAACTGCTAAATGTCATATATTTTTCCAATCTAGAAACACTAAAAACTTTAAGAATCAACTTAACATGTGAGAGGGTGCACACTGCATCACAATTCTTTTCGGAGAAATGCAAGGAAAAAAAAAAGTTGACCATTATCACCTAAGAGTATTTTATCCTGATCAGGGATCTCTGAAGGAAGCAGGAGAACTGGAGCCCTAGTTAGGGTTTGCTTACATGAAATAGGACTAAAGGAAGGACGAGGTTTTTCCTTAAAATGTCTGACCTATGGTATAAACATTGAAAATATTTTTTTTGCACCGTCTTTAATGTCTGGGCAACAGTTCATATTAAATATATGAAAAAAGAACTGATTAATAGATTTCAAAAGCAAAGGGGGGGGGGAATAGAAGGTAAGATGGCTGGAGAGTGCAGAAGAAACAGTAACAGGAGGCTGTAGCTTCTGAAAAGCCAGTTTGCAACTGCAAAAACAGTGAAAAACCTGTCCAAGGGAGATCAGGGAGCATGGCGGGGGCGGGAGGAGCGGGGGGCGGGGGGCAAATACAGTGGCCCTGAGAGGCTGGGACAGCCCAGGAATTGAGCTCACAGGTTGAGAACCAGCCTATGCAAAGAATCCCCAACAGACACAGAGCAAGTACTAAGAAGAGAAGGACCACACCGACCTGAAGGCCTGAACAAAGCATGACGATGAGGATGGGAGAGAGCCAACACCTGGAATGAGCTGAGACTTGAGGATGGGAGACAGCCAACACCTGGAATGAGCTGAGACTTGCAGAAGTACCTCAAATCAACAAAAAAGGCCCCAGAGAGACAGTGCAACTTCAGCAAGTGGAGGATGGAGGAGGCATGGCTTCCATTCTTAATTATTAGAGAAATGGTCTTCACCCTAAGAAGGGAAGACAAAGGGCATAGGAAGGAAACAGCCCAAGAGGAGCGATGTGGTAGTGAAAAGATGGCTATGCTTTCAGCCTCTAGGTCCAGAGAAAGCACTTGCTAAAAGAACTTACTGATGGGGGCTCTGATCTTGGTGTCTTTTCTCCATTGGGGAAACAGAAGGGAATAGGGAGTTAAGGAACAATGAATTTTGAAGGGGAGAAAAGCTCCTGGGAATTATAAAGTGTTTAACCTGAGGTTCCTCTCCAGACAAATGAGAGCAATCCTAAAAATTTTTTGTCAGTGATTATTAGAAATTTGTTGGAATTGGTTGAGGCTAGGACATGGAAACCTACTTTTTTATTTTAACCTTAGTTACAGTCATTATGATGATAAAACAAACAATACTATGTACAGCTTATCTTTATTTCAGCAATGCTAGAGTTGCCAGTAATTTATAAATCATATAGTCAAAGAAAACAGAAACCACTTAAACCAGTGGAGATTTAAATCAGGAAATCTTTTGATGGAATAGACTGAGAAGCCTACCTAGGAAGCTGCTACCACCAGTGGGCTGGAGGGAAAACAGGAAGGCAGGTTGGTGGAGCATAGGGCCCAGAGTCACATGATAGACTCTAGAATCCCAGTGGGCCTGTCCAGTGGTAGCGGGAGCCAGGGAAGAAATGTAGCTGTTGCTGGAGAGACAAGTATAACACAAAGCATACCCTAACATTTTCCCCTCTCTCACCCTTCAAGCTTCCCATCATGTTCCTATTGGCTGTCAAGAACCCAGAATACACAACCTGCAGGAATCAGTCTTCCTGTAGTAAAAAGCAGAGGAGAAAAATTGAGGAATGGATCTGAGGACAAATAGGCCCAGGACCCACACAGCACACACCTTGTGCATAAAATAGTAAAATGTGTGCTGAATAGTAGTAGTTACCTGTATCTATAACAGACAAAACAACTAGTAGTTGTTGAGTCAGGGCCAGCAAAGGGTGATTGATGGTCTTGGGTCAACCTGGAGAGAATCTCCAAGTGCCAAGGGGTCTGTTACAGCCAACCAGGCTAGGCAGTAGTTCATTTATTTAACAAAATTGATCTTATGACCCTAGCCTGTTGGGCCTAAAGTGTGCTCAGTGCATAGGAGGTAATTAGTCACACTAGACTTTGTACTGCTTACATAATATCTGGAATATAGCTCACGTTACATTGGGAAAAAGAAAGTGAATCCAAAAACTGGTATCTAGCACTGGGTTTGATAACTATGTCCTGTGAGAAATGGTTGATAGAAAGAAATCTGTTTATCTACAAATGAACTGACTATATGGAGTTTCATTAGTTGTTTTCAAATACTGGAAAAGTTGCCTTCTCATATGGAAGAGCTAATAATTACTAACACTGAGTATTTATTATGTTTTAGTCACATAACTCATTTAATCATTCTAACTCCTATTAAGGATAAGTATTATTGTACCAGTTTTATAAATGAAAAACCTGAAGGCTCAACAGGTCGTGTAACTAGCCCTTGGCTCAAGCCCAGTCAAACCTTTCAGATTCTGAAGCCCATGTTCCAACTACTGTGATTGCCATGTGTTGTTCTACTAAACCAGACAAGAACCAATGGTTGAAGTCACCATGAGGCAAAATTTGACTTGGCATAAGGATGCTTTTTTCAATGAAAGTTTAACTTTTTATTGTATAATGATGGCAATAACTACTTCTATAAGTAAGAGCTTCCATTCATAGATTTACTTAATGAAAAGTTAGTTATCTCGCAAGTTACTAACATTAGAAAAGAAATATTATTAAAAATAAAAAGGGACATTTCATAATGATAAAAAAGTCAACTCAACAGGAAGACATGTGTGTACATCAAACACATAGCTTCAAAATATATAAAACAAAAATTGGCAGGTATAAAAGGAGACATAAACAAATCCACAATTATATTTGGAGACTTTGAGTCATCTCTATCATAACTGATGGAACAACAACAACAAAAACTAGAAGAGTTGAACAACATAGCCATCTTGACCTAACTAACATACATGAAACTTCTACCCAACAACTGCAGAATATATTTCCAAGTGCATGCATCAATGTATTTATCTTCCAAAGTTACTAAAGATATTTCTAGAGCAGTAAGTTGGGCTAGTTGTATTTTAAGACCACTCCCACCTCTGAAATTCTAAAATTTACTCATCTTTTCCTAAGAATAATATCCTCAATCCAGCTTCCTCATTGTGTGTTGCTGGTAGTGATGCCATTTCAGCCACTTCCCAAATACAAGAGGCTGTGACAACATCTTGAAGTTTTATAAATGTAGACGTGTTATCCTGTCCCTTCCCCAAACTTTGCTGATTCTTTTAGTTGAGCATCTCTCTCCCATCTCCATATATATATATATATATATATATAGAGAGAGAGAGAGAGAGAGAGAGAGAGAGAGAGAGAGAGAGAGAGATCCAGGTGCAAGCCTTAGCCCAGCTCCTGATTCCTCACCCTCCTAGCTCTGAAATCACCTATCAACTTGGCCATGAAGATCAGCTTCTTATCCCAAGCTACCCTGTGGGAGCAGGCCAGACCTTCACCCACAACACACTACTCCTATAAATTCATTTATGCTCCTCCATCCCCCCAAATTCCCCAGAGCTTCAGAAATAACCTACCACATGACTATAAGAGGACATTGTACCAAGGAGGGAAAAGTGTAGATAAGTAACAAAATGAGTATTCAGAATGCATGACTGATTATTAGTATTTGGCTCCAAGACTGGTTAGTCTAACTGGTTCAAGTCCTTCACTAGGCTGGTTCAGAACCTGATTCTCCTTGTATACTAGTTCTGGGTACTCCCAAGTCCCCCTGGAAAACACCCTTCCTCTATATTGCTCCATCCCTAGACATTTTCAGTTGCATAGAGAATCATCCTCTGATGATGATTCCAATACAAAATTGAGAATACAGTAGCTGTGAAGGGCATGAGTTCAAGTCCTCCTCCATCCATCCCTGATTCCAGCTGTTTCCTTATTAACAAAATAAGAATATGAATTTTACCTACCTCACAAGATCCTTGTGTAGTTTAAATGACATAATGTATATTAAGGGGAAGGAGTCAGGAATTAGAGCCACTCTCCCCTGCTCCTCTCCATGTTCTAAACTACGTGAGCAATATACACAAGAATTAATACCAAATGGGAAATGACCTCCATTTTTAAACTAATAAGTGGATAAGAACATGATTTTCCCCTCTCCTTATTCTAGGGCTTCTCTGGTAATTTACACAGGAGAACATGACTTAGACTAGAGTCCTTTTGTTTCTTGTTCCTTCAGCTTAACCTAAGACTCCAGGTTTGCAGATCAGACTCTAAGGTCACTCATCACACAAAGCATTCAACCTCTCTAGCTTCAGTTACCTCCAACAAAAATTGGGAATATCAACAATACCATTTTTTGTTGTCTTGTAATACTTAAATAACTCAATGTGTGTAAAATAGCATATCTGGGACAAAGAAAATGTTTTTAAAAAGTAAAGGCATTATTACTTAATATTGATAATGATTACTTTTTTTATTTCATATGGTATTGGGTACAGAGCTCTACGGGAATCAGAAAAGAAAGACTTATTTTTTTTCTTCTTCTGTCGCCCAGCTTCCTACAAAAAAATAAACACTCGCATCCTTCAAGTTCCAGGAACAGATGAGGTAGAGCTCACCTGCCAGGCTGAAGGGTACCCCCTGGCAGAAGTCTCCTGGCCGAATATCAGTTTTTCTGCCAACACTAGCCACATGGAGACCGCTGACGGCCTCTACCGGGTCACAAGTATCCTGCGCCTAAAACTGCTCCCTGGCAGAAACTTCACCTGTGAGTTCTGGAACGCTGATGTGAAGGAACTTACTTCAGCCATCATTGACCCTCAAGGTAAGAGCAGCTGCCCTTCCTATCAGTCACGTTTCACTTGGAATGAGTAATTTAAGGAGAGTGTAATAAAGGGACTACTTATGAAGTTATGATCAGGATTTAAAGAAACTACTAGGATAGTGAAGGACCCTGGGGCTTCAACAGTAGGGGAGCCATGACCACATTGGAGAGGTGACTGAAACCTGGCGAAGGGAGCTGTAGGGAAAGCGCCATGTGGCAGAGCAGTGCCCTCCAGTAAGAGGGCGCTGCCACTCGCAGCAACTGCCAAAGGGTGAAAGTGGTGAATAAATATCCCAACCTTCTGCTCCTCCCACCCTCTGACCTCCTTCTGGTGCCTCCCATTATGCTAGATCCAACTGGCAGTCAGAGAACAAGGGAGTCCACTGATCCGGTCCATAAAGATCAACCTCTCAGAGCTCAGAACAGAGTGTTGAAGTGTAGATAATGGATCCGAAGAGGAAACAGAAAATATCCAGCACAAAAGCTAATCACTCAGCGGGATGAATATCACTTTCCTGGCTTTGCTGCCAGATAAATGGTTTGGGGGTTTTGCAGGAAAACTGGCCTCTCACAAAAAATCTTGCAGAGCTTTCACTGGCTATGCCGAATCCCATACTTTAAGAACTTCATACACTAGCAAAATTTCAAATGCTTTCTGAAGCCTGACCATTCTTTTATGTGCCAAGTAAGGACATTTATTTGCCAAATAAGAGCAACTAACATCTAGTATCGCAATCATTTCATAAGAGACAAAGTCATTTATCATCAAATGTGCAAGTCTCCTGGTGGTCCTATAACAAATTACCAGAAACTTTGTGGGCTTAGGACAAAACAAATTTATTATTTTACATTTCTGGGAGTCAGAAGTCTGAAAAAGGCTTCACTAAGCTCAAATCAAATCAAGGAAGAATGCATTTTCTTGTGGTTTGTTTTTTTTTTTTTTTTTTTTTTTTTTTAACCAGCTTTTAATGGCCATCTGCATTCCTTGGCTCATGGACCCTTCCTCCACTTTCAAAGGCAGCAGCTGCATTGCTCAGACCTCTGCTTCTGTCATCACATCTTTTTCTTTAACTCTCTTGCCTCCCTTCTCTACCTTTTAGGGACCCTTGTGACTACTGGGACTCAATAATTCAGGATACTTGACCCATTTCAAGTTCCTTAATATAATCACATCTATGAAACCCCTTGCAATGTAGGATAACATATTCACAGGTTTCAGGGATTAGAACATGGACATCTTTGAGGGGAGCCATTATTCTACTAGCATACAAATAAAGAATATCATCTCAGAATTAAGGACATTCCCTAGTACTGGCTAATTTGACTATAGAAAATTAACTGTGTTGTCATTATATGTCACTTCTTGTCCTTTGTCTTACAAAACTGAGCCTATGACAAGGGCTATTGGGCATGCAATTGTTTAGGTGTTGATCCCAGGGAGTAGAAATGAGAGGTTTAGGAGGAAAGAAGGAAAAGCAAAATAAGGATGCATTATCGAAGTTGATGTGGGCAACAGGAGCTCAAATATGCAAGGACTCCCTGAGCAGCATACAGATGGCCTCCTAAGATGTTTACTTATAGGACTTCAAGTGGAAGGACTAATGCATCTGCTTTCTCCTCCATTGGTTGACAGTTGTGAGCTGTGCATGTGTATGGTCTGAGTGAGCTCCCCCAGCATCTGTAGCATCAGAGTCATCCCAGGACAGAAGGCAAATATCCACTTGACAGAATCACTGACCATGAAGTGAATCAAAGCCCAACCAGGGTTCTACCCAATCTGTGGCTGAACTCAGGCATCAAGTTGAGAGGAAGTGAGGCAGGGCTACAAGTCTAATCTTTGTACTGTTCAAGCCCATTCATGCCCTACATTAAGTTCGCTGTCTCTGAGCCTTCAGTCAGGGAACCTGCAAAAGATATGATATGGAAAAATTGGTGGAACAAACTACTGTTCCTGCTTCTGCAATTGATCCCAATTGATATTTATCATCTATCTCATCCACCATACATTCTAGATTTCCCTCACTCAGCACTTCACATGCAATAGTTTGTTTGCCTGGGGGACTCAGACTTCGAACCCTTAGTTGCCTTACCCTTAGCTGACTCAGGTTGCTACAATTGCCTTTTCATTGTTATTAATGGGCATGGAAGTAACCAGAATCAGAATTGGTGGATCCCTGAGTTCTAGACATAGTTTTCCTTGCCTCCATTATGTAATTGCTTTCAAGTTCTTCATGGTAATTAAGATAAATTACTCCACCAATATAATAATTCTTTTCTTTCCTGCTGGTCCAATTTCCAAGCTCCCAACTGCCCCCAATTCCCTACCTACCTACACGTCTCTATACAATTCCAACACTAATGTTAGCGGTGAAATGAGGTAAAGAGAGGAGTCATGCTAAGGATATTGATAGAAATAAAGACATTAGAAACATCATTTTTAGGATCAACTTTGAGTGAAAATAGTTAACTAGGCAAGCTGGCTTTTTAATAATCTTTATTTTTGTTTTTATCACAGCTAAGACCACCAGACTTGTCACCTTATGAAAATAGAGCTATAACTAATTCATACTACCTCGTTAGAGGCTTAAATACTAACAATCCCAGGGGACTTTATTTTTCCTCGACTGTCCTTATGTTTACTCGACTATCCTTTGATATGTGGGATTTTCTGTTTGGTTAAGTGTTGGATGGAATGTGGTTTTCTAGAACACTTATATAAGGATCTCCACAGAGAAATACAGGCCTGGCTAAGATGAATTTGGAAACAACTCGAATCTGCCTTTTGCATCAGTGTTTTTTCTTCGGGTTAGAGAAGTATAAGGGCAGACTGATCATTTCTCCGGAAGCCTTGAGGCTGTGAGAAGTTAAGAATAAAGTAAGGCGGCCCCTCTCTCTCTGGGGAGCCAACACACCTGACTGAATAGTCAACAGTTGTGGGAGAGACCTGTGGGGCCTGCATCGAAGCCTGGGATATCACTCATGAATGCAACCAACAGGGAGATGGAGAAATCTTTGCAATTAGAAATTCTCAACCTAGCTTTACTCATCCTCCCCAGCTTTAAAATCATCCTACTATCCCCTGACATGATCCTCTGCTCCAGTCAGCTCCCCTTCCTCACCATGTACTCTCTGAACTTGCTTGACCCTCTCCCACCACCATGACCTCTTTGCTCAGGCATTTTATTCCACATAAAAATCATTATTCACCAGCTCCAAGTCCACTCTCTCTCTAGGGCAGCTCAGGTAACCCCAGGATACAAGCAGTCTCCCCTCATCTTGCCTCCTAAGACCAATTGTGCCACTTCTTTGTTTGCTTGTGACTGTACTTACCTTTTCTCTTCCATTACTATTTTATTTTCCATGTATTTTAATTATTCACATGAGTCTTCTTGATACCCGGATAAAGCAAAAACAGAGTACTCTGTTCATAGTAAGTGCTCAATCAAGGTCAGACTAATGGGTTAAAGGCTTAGTCTTAGATGATCTCAGACCCATCATCCCAGCCTCCAGACTGTGTGGACAGTCAGATCAGAGCAGTCAAATGATACCCTGGCTTGTGGTACAAATACCTAACCACAGTCACACATCCTCCCACGGGTTCCTAGCTTCTATTTCTCAAAGGCATTTTAAGTTGTCTTATGACTATCCCCTTTCTACTCATTCTCATAAGTTCAGCTGCTCAGTGCTGATTTCTGTGACCCACCACAGGTTTTTCCAGAAGTCGATGAATCAAAGACAGCAATGAAATTCTGGGGGTGGGTGGTGCTCCCATGACTCTAGAATGGTTGACCGAGCATCCTAACTTTCCATCAGAAATTAAGGAGCAGTAAGACGATTTTCCTTTCAAAACAGAGTTTAATCTGCTCAGTCGGTTGTTGCATTTTCATTAGGAGGTATCTAGTGAGACTGGAGCCCAGATTCTTATAGGGCTGGCAGAGAAGCCCTTCTAGGAGGCCTGGCAGTGACTCTGGCAGTAGTCAAGCATGCGGGCTCTGAAGTCAGATGGGCTTGAGTTTCAAATCCTCTCTGCTACCTATGGCTTTGAGAACTTGAGCCACCCTAGAAGTGTCCCTTGTCCTCTTTTGTTGAATGAGGATAAATAATGGTAGCCACCTTACAAGGCTATTGGGACTGTTCAATGAAATATAATAGTAAAGTCCCTAGCACTCAGAAAAGATGGAAACAGGAAAAAGAATGGCATCGTTAGCAAGAGGCATGGCTTCCTTGTGAGTGGATAGGACTGTGAGTAAGGATAAAACAAATTGCTGTCCCATACAGCATCACATCATTGTTAAGTAGCATGTAAATATTAGAAAACAGTTTAGAATAATATATATATAGACTAAGAGACCTGAAAATATAGTGACTCAAACAAGACAAACGTATATTTCTCCCTCATGTAATATTCAGAATTAGAAGGTGGTTCAGAGCAGGTAAGTAGCTATATTCCATAAAGTCATTCTGTGGTCCAGGTTCTTTCCATCTTTTTCTGCCATTCTCCAGGGTGTTATTCCTGTTGAATTCTCAAGGCTGGGTCCCTGCCATATCCATGTTTTAGCCTTTAGAAAGGAAAAAGAGGCATATTTAGTGTTTTAAAGCCAAAACTGAGAAGACCCATTCTCTTGGCTTGACATTAACTTACATGTCTGGCCACACCTATTTATAGGGGAGGCTTAGAAATGTAGTCTCTGAGAAACCATGTGTCCAGCTAACACCTAGCTAACACTAGGGATGAAAAGCAGAATGGATTTAAGGAACAAGGGGCAGTCTGCCACAAGGTAACTGCTGACAAGGAACATTGGGGTAGGTGGACTAAGTAGATGGTCAATTCAGCCCAACAAATCCTTACTGACACTATTCATGTAGCAGTGCTTGGCTTTATAGGGGATTCAGAGGTGACTTAGATAAAGTCCTTGCACTTCAAATACTTACAATCTAAGCAGACTGATGTTCCATTGGATGTTCAACTTTAGAAAGTCTTCGGGGATGAGTAAGCTTTTGTATGTGGAAAGGACTATAAGGGAACTGGACAGGACAAGTGTCTGCATAAAGGCCCTGAGGTAGGCACTTTTCCTGTTGTGGGAACAGTGAGGATCCCAGGACTCCCTGACTCATGGTACAACATGCAGCAAGTGCTTAAATAGCACTTCCTAGGGGTGAAGGCGACAACTGTAATCAATGTGGGTTATCTATTGAGGTTTGGTAACTAGACTTACTGTGGTGATAATTTCATAGTATATACAAATATTGAATCATTATGTTGTACACCTCAAACAAATGTAATGTTGTATGTCCATTATACCTCAATAAAAATATTTTCTTGAACGCTGGGTTATCCAATGTATGGATGAGCCAGTCTTTCTACTCATTTTCCTCCTTAGTGTTCACCACACTCTTTTAGATAGAGAAAAATACCTATTGGGCCAGAGCTTTGGATCAGAGAGATATGGGTTTGCAATTTCAGCTTTGCCACTTGCTTAGCAGTGATGACCTTAGAATCAGTGGTTCTCAACCTTCTGGCCTTTTAAATGCAGTTACTCATGTTGTGACCCAACCATAAAATTATTTTCGTTGCTACTTCATAACTGTAATGTTGCTACTGTTATGAATCGTAATGTAAATATCTGATATGCAGGATGGTCTTAGGCAACCCCTGTGAAAGGGTCGTTCGACCGCCAAATGGGCCTTGACCCACAGGTTGAGAACCGCTGCCTTAGACAGATTATTTCTCATCTTTGAGCTTACTTTGTCAATTCTCAAATAAGGGGCTCAGATTAAATGATGTCTGTGCCCTTCTCAGCTAAAACTGCCTATGGTTCTCAGAAGGCACTGTGTTGGGGGAGGGGAGGCTGTGGGCAGGACTGAACCTTTCCCCCTGAGCAGTGTTTCCAGGTTTTTCTATGTTTATTTCGTATAAGTTACTCCATGAGCACCATGACAGAGGAGCAAACTTCAGGTTTATGGAAAAGGCACAGCCTTGTGTCCCCTTCCGTTTCTCTGCAGTGAACCTGGCTCCAGCCCTGTCTTTGGTCAGCCTGGGCCCCCATTCTAACCTTTAGATATTCATAGCTCCCCTTTAGAAGGTTTTCCTCAGGCTCCTAAATTACTTTCTCATCCACTTCTCTACTAAACTCATCTTTTCCACAGTGCCAGGACCTTCATTAACTATGACAAGGAAAGGGGCTAATTATTATAATTTTCAATGACTGGATTTTGTATATGAATACTACCTATAAGATTTTATTTCTTCCACAGGATCCTATAATTCTTTGAAATTTAATAAGTAATGAATATAGATTCTGAGCACCATGACAGAGGAGCAGGGAGACAGTTTTGAACTGAGAGACTAACCTACTGGAAAGATAAAGAGAGATGATGATGATGATAGGTAAATAGGTAGATAGGTAGATAGATACATAGATACATAGATAGAATATGATACATGTGTCAGAATGATGCAAAGCATGGAATCTGGAACAAGACAGCCTAGATTATATCTCGATCTGACGCTTACTGTATAACTCTGGGAAAGCTTCCTAGGCCTCACTTTTTTTACCAGTAAAATGGGGTCATAGTTGAGCCTGCCTCCTAGGGTGGTTATGAGGAGTGAATGAGCTGGTTCACACAGGGCTCATAAAAAGTACCTAGCATGAATTAGATGTTCAGTGCAAGTTGGCCATGTTGGTTATAACCCACTCAGAAGGCCAGCTTGTTGATTTACATCTGAGCTACCATGTAATTGTGGTGCTTTTCTTTCACCCAGGTGAGATGGAACCCGAGGTCCCTTCAACTTGGCTGCTTCATATTATCATCCCTTCCTTCATTATTGCTTTAATATTCATAGTTACAATGATAATCCTGAAAAAACAACTCTGCCAAAAGCTTTCTTCAAGAAAAGGTAGGTGAGTTTTATTCACAGTACCCATGTGGACTGAGTGTCTGCAGTGAAGGGCTCTGCTTTCACCACTGGCCTCCCACTTCCCGGTTTCATACCAAATCCACTCAATGGTTATGAATTGCTTTGGGTTTGTCCTGATGATTTTTCCCCCAGAAGAAAATGGCTCTAGTCTTCAGTGAGATAAAACTCTTACACTGAATATTTTAAAAGGAATATTTTTGTTTCTGTGGCTGAAATCATTTGCTTTATTCTTTGAGCCGAGAAGTGCCATCAGCCTCATGAGACTGGTGTTATTTTGGCAATGTTGGACAGCTATGTGGTCAGCATTCACTGGTGGGAAGATGCCAGGATCCTTTCTGACAACTCCTTCAGCTCTCAGCTCTCCTTGCCTCATTCTGGATATGAGCTGGGCTAAGCCCTCCCCTTACCCCCAGGAATCTGAATCTCCTGGTTGGGTAAGAAAAGAAGAAAAGTGTGTGAGGTAATTTGTTTGGTGGCACCCTGAGGTCTTTCAGCAGATCCCCACTCCTACTGTGCCAGCCGGGCGGGACCCAGCATGCCTGCAGCCTTGGAGCGCTGGCCTGAATATCTGCAGTCCCATCTGGTGCTTCCCTAAACTATCCCTTTGTCAGCACCCAACCAGCTCTTCCCAAGATTGATACACAGCTTGTCTATAGAAAAAGAAATGGCATCTGGGAGTAACTCAATAGAATTTGGGGTGATCACTATTTGAGGATTGGGCGATGTTTAGGTGGCTGTTTTCCCACATTTACAATCTAACTTCTATATTCTCATCTGTTATGAAATATTATCATACTCTATTTTTGCCCACTGCCCTCTATATACATTAGCTTGGGTAATGTCCACAAGCCCCTCTAAGGTAGATTTAAAGGAACCATTGTCAAAAGAAGGGAGGAGGGAGAAAGGAAAAAGGGAAGGAGGAAGAGAGAAATGACAGAAGTGGAGGGGAAGGACGCTCCACCATAAAGAGGGAATCACAAGTTCTTGTTGGACAAAACTTTGACTAAACAGAATTACTTCTGCAAATCTGTGACCTCAGAGTCATGGCAGATGCAGTGCAGTTTATTAGAATATTATCTTTATACCATATTTCCAGGCCTGGGGCCTGAGAACCCTTTAGTCACCTCAGAAATGAGCAGTAGAGCCTTCTGTCCTTATTCCCTTTTGGAGAATAAAGTGGAGTTATACTCAAAGGTAGAGCAGGGGAAAAATCCTCCCTTCATCCCTCATCTCAATCTCTAGAGTGAGCAAGGACATCAGTAGCTCCTGGGTGCAAGGCTCAAGCACCAACTGCAGTGGAGAGCTTGTTACTAATAAGGGCTGAGTGAATAAATTTGCAAGTGATTCCTTTTTTTGTTTGTTTGTTTTTAATGAAGCAGAGCGAAATCATGGTTGCCTATATAATAACCTCCCTCTCTAACAATCGTGCATTGGAATCTGCTTTCTTACATAGGAGATACACGGATACAAATGTGGAAACGTGGTGGCCATGCACAAAAACTCATGTGTCACGAAAAAAGGTTGAGAACTGCTGGTTCTGTGGATAGAGCTTTAAACCAAAGTCAGAAGGTTAGATGTGGAGCTGGTGCTATCATTTATTGGTTCTATGGTCTTGCACCAATCACCTAACTCCTTTGAGATGATTTTCCTATCTGTAAAATGGGAAGCGACCTGGGAATGAACATTTTGCAGTTGATTAATCCATTCTCATTGCCACTACCAAGGTTCAACCTGGACTAGGGCAGAACCCTCCTCACTCATCTCCCTGCATCCACTCCTGCTGTCTCCAATATGATTGACTTTCACTTTTAGCTAGCATGAGCTTTTAATTTCTCAAATCTATCATGTCTCTTCTGTTCTGATCTCTTCCATGACTTCCCATTGCTCACACACCCGTTGGGAAGTGTGACTCATGTATGCAGTTTTATATGGCACCACTATCACCTTTGTTACCCATGCTTTAGCCATAAAGGATTTTCTAGTCTTCAGAGACATCCGCCTCTTTCAAATCTGAGTTTCTCATATAGTATTTGCTCTTCTTAAATTACTTTCTTTTTCCTTGTCCATCTGAGTTGGTGTCATCCATTAAGTCTCCACTAAACTATCACTTCATCAAGCCTCCCCTGAATCTACCCCCTCACCACACCCATTACATTAAATTCCCTTGTCAGGTGCTTGCCTAGCACCTACTTCGCCCTTCAGTATACTCAGCACACAAGTACATAGGACCTATTTTAATAGCTTGAGCTAAAACCGCAATTGCATCTCTTTTCATTTTCCAATTAATTCCTCAAGCCACCAGCCTTCCCATCTTAGCAAAAAGTCCAGTGTCTCTTTCTTACAGTATGTACTTCCCCAACTCCCACAAACTGCCAGGAGGCTTACTTAGCCCACAGAGCCAGTGCTGCTTCTGAGAAAGCTACTGGGGAACTAGGTCAGTTCACCAGAGAGCCCTGGTTTTAAGCTGCTGCGGTTTCTACTACGGCCATGCAACATCCCTGTTCCCTCCAAGTGTCTCCATCCACTATGCAAAGGTACCCTTGCTGGTTCAGATCCCCACACAGACCAGAGCGATGCAAGATGACAACTCTCCTGGCTCCCCTCACATGTTCTGGCCTCGCTCCCAAAGCAGGACCCTCAGGGGCTGATAAGGGAGGAGGGCCTTCCTGCCTCAGCCATAGCTGTGTGCAGCCAGCCTCTTCTGCTCTCAAACCTTCATGTGGAGGGGGACACCAGTCCTGACTTCCTTCTCTGGAGTCATTTCTGTTCTGAACTCCTCAGTCTATTGGAGAGAGTCCATTTTAGTCCCTTTCTGTCCAGAAAGCTCCTTGGCTCCTCAACACATTTATCCGCTTATGCCTCCGACCAGCTCTGCACACCGAGGTTTTTGGGGAGGGCAGCCGTTGCCAGTCCATAAAAGGTTCATTTACCATCCCCCACTAAGAGGGACCATTCAACAGATCAGGGCTCCAGGGTGATACTGACATTATTGTAAAAAATAAGGTCAAGTTCTGTTTCATCTGTTAGTCTTTAAGTTTCATAAGTATAGGGGCTATGTTTCTCTTATTCACCAATATATGTCCAGTGTCTAACTCTAAAACATTACCTGGCAAATACAGTTCTTCAAGAAAACTTTAAACATTGAACATACTACATGCAGGTACATAGGCTAAACTTCTTTGTAAAATATACTAGTCACATGTGGTTTTTAAATTTAATTGAAATAAAAATTCAATTCCTCTGTCACATTTTAAGTGCCTAAATATTGCAAGTGCTTAGTAGTCACGTGGGTCTGTATGGGACAGAGCAGATATTACTAATTTCCATCTTTGCAGAAAGTTCTATTGGACAGCATTGTGCTAGACCCTTTGCAGTTAATTTCACAAAAACTGCTTGAGGCAGGGAATCGCATCTACTTTGTAAATGAAGAAACTGAAGCTCAGAAAATATTTCTGAAGTTATATAGCTGGGCTTGAACACAGGTCTGACTCCAAAACTTGTGGCCCTTTGTTGCAAAAGTGCTTAATAAAAATTGGCTCAATCTGAATACATTTTACATTATAATTATCTTTGGGCAATGGAAAGAAAAGGTCTCAACCCAAAGTACTTGAGCAACTTGTTCATTGACCCGCTGGGCCAATGGCAAAGCCAAGAAAAGAATCCAGAAAGAATTGTGAGCTATAGAGACCAGATTTCCAAAAAAGGTCTCTAGATTTCTATTTCTCAAACTCTTTATGCTAAAGAACCATTTTGGTTTTTTTCAAATTTCTAGTATGTTAGAATTGGTACTTTTATAATATGGAAAAATTACTAATAATGAAATGGAAAAAAACAAAGACATAAAGCAATAAGCCCAATTTTTACTAGAGTTAATAAGTATAAAATGACATTTGAATAAATATGTTCAAAAATATAACCTAGTAAAATAATTACTATAAAATGTTCTAAATGTTTACTCTGCACTTCTGTACTTATCTCATTGTGAACAAATTAACAGTTCACCTACCAGCACCAGCTTGTAGACCACACTTTTGGTGGCACTGTCCTAAAGGATTGACCAAGGTCTTTCCAGGGATTTAAACCAAAGGCCAAATATGCAGGTTTATGATGTATAAGAACAACAGAGAATGGGAGCACTTACTTCAAGCATTAGAGAGAGGCTCCCCTGAAACTCCAACATTCCAGGGCAATCCCTCTGAGTTAATCATTGGGCTCCTTTCAAGTACAAATGCTCTTGGAGGAGACTGCATTGCTGAATTAGAGGCCCAAGATGGTCATGAGAGAGTTACTAAAAATCTGGTATACAGAGCAAAAACAGAATTAGACGCAGACTGAATTTAGATAACCAGGAAACTGCAGGAGATGGGCATCAAGCCCCGGAAGAAAATAAAAGTGGAAAGGAACATGTGAAATCAGGGATTGAGAAAAATGAAACCAGGGAAACAGTGGGGAGCAGCATCCCATTATGAGAAATTTTGGCTTCCACCCTGAGTTACTTTGAACCAGTATCAGTCATTTACACCTTAGTGCAAATTAATTGATCAGATCTTCTGCTCTCTGTAGGGCAGAGGGAAGGAAGTGGCAGTAAATACTAAAGCAGAAGAGGGAGAGAAAATTCTGGAGCCAGACATTTCCTGGACTGAATCCCAAAGTAGCAATCCCTTGGCCTCTGAGTGTCTGGGGTCAGGGTCAGACAAAGGAATGGCAATGGGGGCCTTCTTTGTTCACAATCTTGCCAATGGGTATGGTTTTACATTACTCATTATTCAGAATGAGTTCTCAAGCCACTGAGACATTTAGACTTCTATATGTGAATTTTATTTGGATTTACTCTTTTTATCTATAATAATAAAAGCCTAATATGCTAATTAGACCAGATGTCCTTCCAGACATCCTTCCAGACAAAGCCAGGACTGTGAGTGAAGCCTGGGACCCGGGTGCCAGAGGGAAGCCGGTGCTGGCAGCAAGGGGGGGGGGAGGGTCGGGGGAGGGAAGGAAGTTCTACTCTTGCATGAATTTCATGCATTGGGCCTCTAGTATATATATAATGTATTTTTATTGATTTCAGAGAGAAAGGGAGAGGGAGAGAGAGAATCATTGATCAGCTGCCTCCTGCATGGCCCCTACTGGGGATTGAGCCTGCAACCCAGGCATGTGCCCTTGACTGGAATCAAACCCAGGACCCCTCAGTCCACAGGCCAATGCCCTATCCATTGAGCCAAACCAGCTAGGGCTGGATTTACTTTTTAAAATACTTTTTTATTTTTCAATTACAGTTGACATACAACATCACATTAGTTCCAGGTGTACAAACCAGTAGTTAGACATTTATATAACTTGCAAGTGATAGCCCTGACAAATCTAGTACTCATCTGGCACCATACATAGTTATTACAGTATTGTTGATTAGATTCCCTATGCTGTACATTACATCTACATGATTATTCTGTAACTACCAATTTGTGCTTCTTAATCTCTCCACTTTTTTCACCCATTCCCCCAACACCCCTACCACCTAGCAACCATCAAAATGTTCTCTACATATGAGTCTTTCTGGTCTGTTTGTTGCTTTGTTTTGTTTTTTAGATTCCACATATAAGTGAAATCAAATGGCATTTGTCTTTCTCTCTTTGATTTATGTCACTCATAAACCTATCTAAGTCTATCCATGTTGTTGCAGATGGCAAGATTTCATTCTTTTTTTATGGCTGAGTCATATTCTATTGTATATGTGCACCACTTTTTTATCCATTTATCTACTGATGGGCACGTAAGTTGCTTCCATCTCTTAGCTATTGTAAATAATATTGCAATGAACATATGGATGCATATGTCTTTTTCATTTAGTGTTTTGGTTTTCTTCTGATAAATACCCAGAAGTGGAATTACTGTCCTTTTTTTGTCTAGTTATAGCCTTTGTTTAAAAATATATTTTGTCTGGTATAATTATTGCTACCCCAGCTTTTTTGTAATTTCCATTTTCATGAAATATTTTTTCCATTCTTTTACTCTCAGTCTGTGTCTTTTTTAAATTATTATTGATTTCAGAGAGGAATGGAGAGGAAGAGAGAGATAGAAACATCAATGAGGAGAGAGAATCACTGATTGGCTGCCTCCTGCACACCCCCTACTGGAGATTGAGCCCACAACCCGGGCATGTGCCCTTGATTGGAATCAGACCAGGGACTCTTTAGTCTACAGGCCGGTGCTCTATCTACTGAGCCAAACCAGCTAGGGCAGTCTGTGTGTCTTTTGATCTGAAGTGAGTCTCTTATAGACAGCATATGTAAGGGTCTTGTTTTTGTTATCCATTCAGCCACTATATATCTGTAGAATGGAGCATTTAATCCATTTGCATTTAAAGTAATTGTTTATGTATTTATTGCCATTTTATTATTTATATTTTTGTCTTTTTTTTTTTCCTTTTTCTTCTTAAAGAAGACCCTTTAACATTTCTTATAATACTGGTTTGGTAGTGATGAATTCCTTTAGCTTTTTTCTTGTCCGGGAAGCTCTTTGTCTATCCGTTGACTCTAAACAATAGCTTTGTTGGATGGGATAATCTTGATTATAGGTCCTTGCTTTTCTTCTTCTTTTTTTTAAATATATTTTATTGATTTTATACAGAGAGGAAGGGAGAGAGATAGAGAGTTAGAAACATCGATGGGAGAGAAACATCGATCAGCCACCTCCTGCACATCTCCTACTGGGGATGTGCCCGCAACCCAGGTACATGCCCTTGACCGGAATCGAACCTGGGACCTTTCAGTCTGCAGGCCGACACTCTATCCACTGAGCCAAACCGGTTTCGGCGGTCCTTGCTTTTCATTACTCTGAATATTTTGTGCCAATTCCTACTGGCTTGCAAAGTTTCTGTTGAGAAATCAGCTGGCAGTCTTATGGGAGCTCCCATGTAGGTAACTAAGAGCTTTGCTCTTGTTGCCTTTAAGAATCTCTGTCTTTAACCTTTGGCATTTTAATTATGATGTGTCTTGGAATGAACTTCTTTGGATTCTTCTTGTTTGGGACACTCTGCACTTTCTGGACTTGTATGTCTGTTTCCTTCTCCAGGTTAAGGAAGTTTTCTGTCATTTTTCAAATACGTTTCTATTTCTTGCTCGCTCTGTTCTCTTTTCAGCACCCTGCCTGATGTAAGTGTTGGTAGGTTTGAAGTTGTCCCAGAAGCTCCTTACATTGTCCTCCTATTTTTTTAATTCTTTTTTTTTTTTACTGTTCTGATTAGGTGTTTTCTGTTTCCTTATCTTCCAAATTGCAGATTGATCCTCTGCTTTATATACTCTACTGTTGATTCCCTATGAAGTATTCGTCATTCTTCATTTTTGACTTTTAAAAAATGTTTTCTAGCTCCATTTTTATGTTTCTTATCTCTCTATTCAAATTATTAGGAAAACAAGAAACATAATTTCATCTGCTCTTCCCCTAAGTTCATTGAGCATCCTTATAACCAGTGTTTTAAACTCTGCATCTAGTAGATTGCTTGTCTCCATTTTGTTTAGTTCTTTTCCTGGAGTTTTGTCCTGTTCTTTCATTGGTACATGTTTCTTTGTCTCCTCATTTTGGCTGCCCCCCTGTGTTTGTTTCTGTGTCTCCTAGACTTGGTAGAGTGGCCTTATGTAGTAGGTGTCCTATGATGCCCAGTGGCACAGCCTTATCCAATCTTGGAATTCCAGGTGCACCCCCTGTGTAGGCTGTGTGCACCCTCCTGTTGTATTTGAGTCTTGATTGCTATTGGCATGTCTATGGGAGGGATTCACCCACAGGTCAATTGGCTGCAAGGACTTTCTGTGACTATTATGGAGGATCTGCTGTGCAGGGCTCACCCCATGGAGCAGGACATTCTTCAGTGGGGCTCTGGTGCTGGCTGTGTCTTCCCTTTGAGTGTGTCACTCATGGAGGTGCTTGGGTGTGGTCTGAAGCTGTCTATAGGGTGTGCTGACTCTTGGGCCTCCTGGGAAGCGCAGACCAAGGTCAGCCACCACCTGTGCCCTTCCCGGCATGAGCTATAGAGCAATCTTCAGATGGCTACTAAATATGCTGAGCTTAGAGGTGCCCAGGAGAGGCCAAGATGCGAACCAAGCCTGGATGCTGCAGTGCTGGAACTGAGGCCACTTAGTGAGAGGTAGGAGTTATGCCAAGGCCAGATGCTGCTTGTTTGAAAGATTCTAGGAAAGTCCAAAGCATGAGCCAAGATGGCTGTTTGTATGGAAAAACCACTGAAAATGGCTTGGGTGGGCCTGCAAGTTGGGTGGGGTGGAGTCTCAGGGAATCACCGGGGCAGGGTGAACAATGTGAAGCCAGGTTGATGGAGACTCAGATATGGAGCCCGCCTGCCAGCTCTGTGAGGGGGAGGGTTCATCAAAGGAACAATGGCCTCTGTCAGCACTTCTGTCTAGGAGAAAGCTGTCCCTCCAGCCCTTGCTCTGATACCACACAATTCAGTTCCTCCCAATGTTTCCCTCACATGCCTTTCAAGCTGCCACCACAGCACTGGAGCTCAGAGTGAGCAAGTCTGAGCAAGTTCGTGCATGGACCCTTTAAGAGGAACTGGCTGAGACTCCAGGAGCTCTGCATCTTCCTCAGCCTCAATCCAAGCTGGTTTTCACAGCCAGAAGTTATGGGGACTTCCCTTTCTGGCACTGGAACCCTGGGCTGGGGAGCCTGGTATGGGACTAGGACCCCTCACTCCTCAGGGGGCACCTCAGCAGCAAGATATCCCTCCCAATCTTTACCACCACATGTAGGTGTGGGACCAGCTCATTCAGAGTCTCTTCCCCTCCTGCTAGTATCGATGTGGTTTTCTGCTTTATATCCTTAGTTATAGGACTTC